ACAGGATTGCTTCTAACTCCAAGCACCCCCTTGGCATTCGAGGTTGATATTCTTTTTGTGCTTTGTTGGTACAGTTTTTAGTGAGCTTCTCCTGTGGTATCTACCACAGTTCAGAATTAGGGATCAAACTAGTAAATTCCTATAACATGTCCCCTGGTATCTCCCTTCTGCCTGAAAGGCATTCACCAGTCTTTAAACCACGCCAGTCAGGACAAAAGTCCATACACCCTCAGCCTAGCTGCTCTTAATGCATGAAGGCTATAGTAGATGTATACAAATAGCCAGGAGGGCACCTCTTGCTTTGGGAGCCAGCTGTGGCTTTGCAGAGCTAATGTGAACAAAGAAAAAGAAGATAAAATGGATAACTCTGATACGCGGATTGACTGCACAACTCGTTAGAGTTGTAAAGTACAATTCTGCTTCACCATTCTAGCAACTTTGACTCCTATGGTTCTGCTTCACCAAGCACAGCACTGCTTAAGCAAGCAGGCGCAATGTTTCCCGGTATCAGTTCCACCTGATTTACTTGTCCTGGCGCATTGCCACTCGGTGGGCTGTTGTTTCTGGACTAACACACACATCACTGTGGGAAAGCACAGGCATTCAGCTATGTCCTGAATTGTGACACCAGAAGAGGCTGCTGATGGATCTGAAACGTTAGGGGTGGGGCCACATGGCCACTGCCTTTGCTCCTTCAACACAGGACTTCAATGCTCATAAACCAAAAGGGATATTTCTCCATGATGCTCTGAAACCTGTTGACCACTGTGTTAGAGAAGCTTTGTGCTTCCATTCAGGGTTTAAATCCTGTGACATCAAAACAGCTTTAGTATGGCAGTCACACATTTTGGTATGGATATAGTATTCTTTTTGAAGGTCAATCTATTATGTGTAAGATGGGTCATTTTTTGAAGTTTCAGAGCTGCTTTCAAAACTATGCCTAAGCAAATACTGCAATAATCATTTATTGCAGCAATGTGATCAGACACATTTCATGCTTTAATCTGAAACAGCGCAGAGTAGAGACTCCACGCTGATCACAGGGAACAGGTACGTGTTAGTGCTTACTACACTGCCATGAACTTCCTGCAGCAGATATTGCCACAGGAAGTGGACTAGCAAGGGAAGACCTCATCCACAGCCGCTTAGAAGGTAAAATCCCAGAGTCCATATCCCAGTTATTCAAAGACATAAGATTTAAAAGAAAATGTGGGATTTTTGTTGCAACATGTCATGCTGCTTTCTGAACATCTGATCGTGACCAGAGTATATGAGCTGAGGGGCTGGAGCAGTGCCTCTGTACAGGAGCACTGGATCCACCAAAGTGTGTCCATTATGGCCCTAGTTCCTTCTCTGCAAAAACAGACTGTCTTGACACAAAGACTTTTTTTTTCCCTTGTTCCAGTTATCTTTCTTTTTCGTTTTGATACTGCAGAGAGGCCACTCACACTGCAATCTCAGGTACCAGAGGTTTTGTCAGTGATTTTTTTTTTGTGTTCCTGGGTTGTTTTGGCCAGGTTTGTTTGGCCTTTTTTTCTAACAAGGAGGTAGGAAACAGAGCAAGTCATTGCAACATAAACTCCAGTCTCCATAGCAACAATTAAAAGTGTTTTCCTTCCTCAGCTTTACAATTCCAATCCTATAGTCTCACCTGAAGCTTGGGTGAGCGGCAAGAGGTTAAACCATTTCCTAACTTACTTGCTTATTGTGGAGTTTTAAAAGCAGGCTACTGGTGTGAGTAGCACAGGCCAAGTGAGACCTGAAAAGCTTTCCTGGGCACCAGGATGTGTGACAGGGGCTTGAGAAGGGCAGATGAGAAACAGCATATTTACCTCACGTCGATTTTCCCACCATCCAGTAGCATGTATTCACATTACAAAATTAAACTGAATGAAATACAAATTCTCAAATCAGTTCTGAGTCTTTGACTGTATTTTCTTCAGCTCTGAAAGGTTCTTTTACCAGCCTGGATCATTATCAAAGGTGACTTAATCATAGAATCACAGAATAGTTTGGGTTGGAAAAAGCCTTAAGACCATCAAGTTCCAACCCCCTGCCATGGGCAGGGATACCTTACACTAGACTGTGTCACTCAAGTCTGTCCAACCTGGCCTTGAACACTGCCAGAGATGGAGCATTTACCACTTCTTTGCACAACCTGTTCCAGTGTCTCACCACCCTCACAGTGAAGAACTTCTTCCTTATATCTAACCTGAACTTCCCCTGCTTAAGTTTAAACCCATTACCCCCTGTCCTATCCCTACAGTCCCTAATAAAGAGCCCCTCTCCAGCATTGACTTCACTGATGACAACACAGAATTGTTAACCTGTACTCGAGTAGTATGGGGGGTGTACTAGGAAGGATTCCCTCTGTGAATAGGAAACATGGACAGCGATCATCTCAATTGGGCCACAGCTCCTTACTGCCTCTCTAGAGCACCCAAAAAGGGAAACAACCAACCATCAGGCAATCACAGGGAATGTTACTACAGATAAGGTTTAGCTAAATTAACCAGTGAATTTTATCACTCTCTTAGTTCTAGCAGAGCCAAATGGATTTAAGATCAACAAACACAAAGGATCTTTTCTTAATGGATAAACTGAATGGCGAGAGGTCTTTTAAGACTGGCAGGAGTTTTTCAGTGTGCACTCGTACAACAGCAATCCATTCCAACACACACAGCTTAAAACTTTGTACTCATTTCTAAAGGAATCATAGCTATTTTTCATTATAGGGTGATTATCTTTTTTCTAAGTAATTCTTTTGCCATTTGAAATAACACACTGCTTGTAGCTTTGAAGTAATTTTGATGGATGCTTTCCTGTGCTCATTATCCACTAAACCCTGTGTGACGATCCCCACAGAAAGTATTTTATACTTCAGAAAAACCAAATTAAAGAGAACGCATCTTTGTCATTCTGCCTTTCTGTGGACAGGACGAGATGCCCATTGTCTTCCTCAACTGTCATTAACCACACTTGTAAATCACAGTATTTCACTAATGCATAGTGTTGGTGGCTGCAATGCTTCTCTGAGGCCACTCATAAGCTCTGCTCAGGTCAGAGCATGCTTTACTATTAGCACGGGCTGCCTTAAAGCCAGAAATCTTCAAAGATGTTTCATTCCTATTGTGGAAACTTGGCTTTTGTAAGAGTTGTTTTAAACAAGAATACAAACATTGTACAAAATGATCTACCATTGGGAATGAAAGGAAGAAGTTGTTGGATTTACTAGAAAAGGGGCTGAGGATGTAAGGATACTACCTTCACCTGCACTCACTGGAGGTCTCATTATAAGCTTAAATTTTTCAAACCAAGCAGAAATGTTTCATTACGAATTAATTTGGTCTCTAGATACATGCATTAGCTAGGTACATAAACGAGTAGCCAGATGCAGAACAAGTATTCAAGCTAGCCTCACTGAACTAAAAGCTTCATTAAATGTGTTGATAAAAGTAACTGCTCAAAATTGCAGTATTTGATAAATTTGAAGCAACTTGGACATTGACTGGAAAGTAGGCACATGTGTACTAGCAATCAGGGAGTAGAAACAAACTCTGTTATCAATACCCAAACATTTCTTTTAGTATTAAAACAGAGCAGTGATGCAAATTACTGGTTACTGTACATCTGATGGAAGTGGTACAAAGTACATCCTTACGCCTTATACTCTTGGAGTTGGGTTAGATTTTTACAGACTTTGAAGTTTAAAAAGCAAAAAAGCTTTTGGTATGTGTGAATGGCAGTATCAGAGAAATTTTGAAGCTTCTCACATGCACACCCCATCCACTTCCCACTCTGATGCTGGGGCAAGACAGTACACAGCAGGCCAGAAAGCAGCTGCTATTCTCTCCAACCGTGCCCTTGAAGCTCTAGGAACCAGGACTTATGACCCTCAGCTCTGCAGTCTGGATGTCATCTCTGCCCTTTGACCCTGTCTGGATTAAGCTCTGGAACGCAAAGCATGTTCTTACAACAAAAGCAACAGAGTTTGGAGCTGCCAGAAGAAAATGTAGCAAAGCAATCCTACAAGTTCCTTACACAGGAATCTTGCAGTTGTACTGTAATAGAAATGAGCAAGCCGCAACCTAAAACTCTAGCGACGAACTGGAAAAAGAGGTAAGGAATAGAGAAGTAGGCTGCTCCCCAAATCGCACCCTGTTAGGATCCAGGAGCGCAGCTTTGGCAAGCAGCATGTTCTTAAGTTAGACAGATGGAAATATGCTTACGTGTCAAAGCTGTTATCCCCCAAGAGGAAAGAAATTATGTTGTCTTGAAGATGCTGTGGGTAACAGACAGGGAAAGGTCCAGAAATAGAACAGAACTAAGAATACAAAGCTCAGTTTGGAATACAAAATGAAAGCTGTCTTTTGCACAGAAAAGGGGTGGGTTTTTTCATAACAGATAGAAGATCAGAACTTTTTTTTAGTCCTGATATAGTATATTACAATATGCATGCACTGCCCTGGTGAAAACTTACTACTAATAAATTATTAATGTTTGTCATGCAGTATTATCAACAGGAAAATTTCCATGACTGAGGAGTTTAACAAATTCTGGTCTATACAAAATACTGAATAATATGGGATACCGAGCTTTTGAAGAGCCTTTGAATACTAACTATCATGAATGGTTTTTAAAAATTTCAGGTACTAACAATAATCTGAGTTTAGCTATGAGAAAAATGCAGAATCTTCTTCATCAGCCAGTGGCTTCTTTGAGCTCAATTTAATAATCACGTACATCTTTTATTTTAAAGCATATTTCACAATAATGCTCAAGAAGAAAACCAACTTTCAATTGCAACAGCTATATGTTTTTCTAATACAGCTCATTCCTTTCCATCAAAACAAAGCCACTCTAGTACCATATCTTTGTTCTTTATCTACTTAGTCCATATCAGAAAACAAATGCTAATTGCATCGTTTCCATTAAGGCAGAGGACGATATGCAAACAGGAAGATGTTTTGCCCTGTGGGTGCTAAATAAACAAACAAACCTTTCTATTTCAAATATGTCAATTTACTTTTATTGAAATCTTCATGTCTCCACCTTCCATTAGGAGAAAAAACCCCTGCAATTAACATAAAATTATTGTGATTATTCCATTTTAACATTTATTCTTGCATAGAAGCCCTAACAGCCAGACACATCTGATTCAGACAAGTCACGGCAGCAGCACTGCCCATTATTCCAAAGAAACCCCATTCAAGTTCAACTGGAAAGGAAGTTTCAAAATGCTTCCATATGCATTAAAACAACTTTTAAAACCCTTTAGGTTTTGTGTTCCGAGTCTTTAGAAACGTTTTTTTTCTGAGGTTTGGTAGCTTCGTCCATCAGTTCCTTCAGCTGCCCAATTTGTTCATCACGGAAGTCATTAAGTTTTTCTTCTGTGAGCTGGATTCCATATACAGTCTTTTCTGTCAAGTTTTGTTTGTCCTCATTAATTTGTTGCTGTATCAGTGCTGCATAGTTCTAATAAGGAAGGAATACAAAGGTCACAAAAATGACAAATGCAGGAGTCAGGTCAATGTTTTTTAATATCATTATACTGTAATAACATACTCTTGCTAAACCTTCTACAACAGTCTGTTAATCAACACCAAATAACAAAAAAATACACTTTTTATAAGAAAGAAAAGTTAAGGTACTTCTAGAATCTATAGTCAATTTTCTTAGCTAGGTTAAAATGCATATCATACATCTACAAATTAATTCTGTCACGTACTACTGAAAACAAAACAAAACTTAATTCTAGATCAAATATATTTATGTCATTGTAACTATTAAAGTACACATTTTCTATCTAGCAGGGTATCATCAGGATTCACTTTGTAAACTGATACATCTGGAAAGGATTATTCTTGAAGAAATGTATTAGAAAATCTAATAATTAGACAAATGTCCTAAAGCCTTTCTGACAGTCTCTGTATTTCAGGGAACAGATAAGGTTATTTGCACCCAGTCTCTGGGCTGCTCCAAAGGCAGTAGGAACTCAGCAATTCTGAGACCTGGGTCATTATGCCAGATCTGAAGAAATTAAAAGCTAGGGGAAAATAAGCAGGGGCTTCAAGGACAGATACCTCCATACTGTGTCTCGTTCTGTGCTATTTTAAATATAAGCTTGCTCAGATTTACTTTCAGTCCTGTTCTAACAACAATTGTTTGGACCATGTTTACTTAAATAACAGCATTTATGCCAGTGGATAGTTAAAACAGTGAATATGTATTATATCAATACCAGTCTGAGGACCATTATAAAAGCAAAACTTTCGCAAAGACAGAAATGCAAGTGGCCAACAGGTCACACCAGTAATGCAGACACAGATGGAAAATTACTTGCTAAATGGATAGGAGCAATCTTTGACCTTTATGACTTTCCCAAATTACAACATTTGAGGGTTTGCAAGTGGTTCTGCAAATTTAATTCAGTGAGAAGTGACACCTTCAAACCCCCTCAGCACTGATCCTGTGCACTCCCTGGCTCCCTCTGCCCAGCACCAGCCCAGCACTGCAACAACTCTCAAAGAAGTTGTACTAGAGTGAATCTAACAAAAGCCTCTTGGTGCATGTACACACTGAAGTCAGTGAACCTAGTCAGTCGTTCAAAAGTTAATCACGTATTTAAACACTGGGCTGGAAAGGAGCCTAAACTTCCATTTTTCTAAAGAGAAACTTAAAAACAAACTTCACAATTGCGAAATTAACTTCAGAAGTTAATTTATTGGAAAAAATACAGGCTTCTCTCCTACTTTTGTAAGCAATTTTTTAAAGCACCCTTAAAGTTTCAAGGACAACTCTGAATACAATGTAAGAAACTGAACTAAAAAAAAACACCTATACTCTGAATAACAGTGATGACTGTGTTACATGGCAACACTTTTTCTTAAAGGATTATGTATCATGAGTATTCAAAAGCACATGAATATAGGAGTGAGAGATGAGATTATTTTTATCTCCAATTTTCAGCTAAAAGAAGCCTCATTATTGCACACCGAATTGTTAATCCAGTTATAAGTAAAGTTACTAAAGCCATGACTTCAGCTGTCTGTCTAGGAATTCTAGAGAAGTGGGTAAGAAGGGAGAATGTTATTCATGCACATGTGACATATCTCAAAATGACATTTACTAACATAAATACACTACATTGTTTATGAACAACATCCAGCCTCACTAAAGTCAGGAGGATCTTACCAGTCCTGCTGCAAAGCTTAATTCATGGCTATTTAAAGAAAATAGATAAAACAAACCAATTTAAATTTTTATTAATGCAGATTCTGAACTAAAATGTTTCCTCATTTCTAACAGACAGATCTGTTGTGGTAGAACGTTGTGTTAAAGTTACCTTATATGAAAAATAACAACAGTTTCATAATACCGAGGAAACTCCCCACATCACCTCTCTCATTTTTACCTAAAATGTGTATTCAGGAGCAGTGACACTACAGCTAATCCCTGTTGTAATCCGACACTTCAGTGGCAGGGCCAGTCCAGGATTTAGAAGGAACTAAATGCAGTTTTTTCCTGATAACTAAACAACCAAACAGTGACAAGGTAAAAAATCATAATGGGTTAAAAAGTCTTCAACATCGTGATTTACAGAATTTCTTATCAAGGCAGATGGACAAATGCTGAAGCTATTAGCATATCAGTAACACACCAACACATTACACATCAACTATTCCACCTCATTCTGTCTTCAAATTTCTGCACAGAAAAACCCAGCCATTATTGATTCTGGACTCCAAAAAAAGAAACTCTTATTATACCGAACAACAACATTTGCAGTGTGTAATTCAGTAACGATACTGAAAGCAAGCAATGTGAAACTCCCCATGTCTTATCAAGAGACCTGACCAAATGTACAAACCCTAAGAACCCCTCCATGCAATGTCCTACCACTGCAGGTTCCACAACAGCAAAGAAGTCCTCTCCACTGATAATGACGAACCCCCTGGAGCAGTTTGTGTCTACTGCTGCAGGCACGGGCTGTGTATCTGGAAACAACTGAAGTCCAGTGGAAGACCAGCTATGAATTTACAAACTTTGTTGACTAGAAGATCATCGTTTCCAAAAATATCAAATTAATTCCTTGTAAAGAGTCTGCAATTTTATATATATATACATATATTTATATCTAACATCAAAGCATCACATTTCACAAAGCATCAGCTTTAAAAAATCCAGATCTCAGAATCAGTGGTCCTCAACAAAGCTGCAACATCCATTCACACAGGTGCCCTACATCCAGATACACAACTGACTGTATTGCCCCATCCCTTGGATACCAGGTGTTCTGCTTCACAGCACTCCAATGTGCTCCCATCTGGACGTGTCACCTCTGGCTCTTTTTCCCCACTTATTTTCTAGCTGAACAAATGTTTTGTACATGCCAGAAAGCCTCAATAGTTGTGTGTCACATCGATTTGTAATGTGAACAAAAATTCAAAATTGAAAAGCCCTGAAAACATGCTGGGCTTTGGTTGGCTTATGACAGAAAACAGAAAACTATTTTCTCGCCTCATTTTACCAAAAGGCAGTGATACACCAAAGATAATACATTTCAGCCTCTACAAAAGCACTGGAAAAAGATCAACTATGTGGCATCATCTCATTTTCGCTGCCTGTGATGCCACAAGAGGAACAAACAAAGCTTGGTTTAACGCATTACTGTTCCCTCAGAAATTCATACTGTTGTCAGTGATTTGTAGAAAGGTACTACATAATTTGCTGCTACATAGTTCCATAATTTCAGATCCAGCTTCTATACAGAAAATGTGCCATTTTGCTAACTGCACATGAACTTTAATATGATGAACTCCAAAGTTCAGTAATAGGTTTAAAAGCATAATGGGGAGGGGGGAACAAGGGAGAAGCCAACATTTGTTCTTTCAATAATATACCTTTGGTCACAAAATATGATGATAACAGTCCCTCTCAGGCAGTAAGGAGGAGCAGCATGTTTGTGTATCATAGAACATTTAGGGTTTTAATTAGAACTTAATAGATACAGAATTTAGCTATTTTCTAGTGTCATCTTCCCTACTAGCAGAACTGAAACAAACACTTGCTTAGGTTTCCCAAAGAAAATTACCTTGCTTCTGCCTCTCATTTTACTTTACATATAACTACACTTTCCAAATATAATAAAACCTCTCTGTCAATCATGACACAATTTTCTGTAATCTGGCAGATTTTCCAAGGGCATCTTATTGAAATTACAGCTCACACTGTACAGTTCGCTTACAGAACCAGAGCCAGGAGACACAAAATGGAAGGCAGGTAAACCCAACCCTAACACAGGCAAGCTCAGCGTACACAATGATGGCAGAGGCTCACAGGGGTTCTCTTCCCTTGCATAAATGGTCAAGTGCTGCAAATTGGTCAGGGACAACCCCTGCATCTTGGGTTGTTTAGGCTGGTTGGTTGTTTCTCTGTAAGCAGCTCTTACAGCAGTGACACTCTGCCTGCACCAGCTGTACACCTTCTTGGGCACCTACATGAAAAAAGAAACCCAAACAAAATCCAAACCATCAGCTGAACAGTAAAAGCCTTTGCCCCTTGGTCTATGACTGCCACAGGAAACAATGAGGATTAGAATCAAATCCAGTTCAAGAAAACCTTTCCTGACCATTTACCATCAAAAGACAACTGATTTATCTAGTCTTCAATCCCAGCTGGCCATCAATATCACAGACTCTGAGTCCCACTCCTCCCAGCATCCATCCCAGTCTTAAAGGAGGGTAACAGTCGGATGTGCAGACTGGCCAGGTCCCTGCATTGCCAGCAGTATGTGCATCCACGGAGACACCCCAAAACTCTCTGCATTGCCAATGCGGAGGCAGATGCCTCACCTGAACCCTCTGATCCTGGTTCTGCCCACAGATCACGCTGGCACCTACACCATGCAAGCTGAATCTAGCCATTACGGTCTCTTAAAATCCTATTACTGATTAAATACTTGAACCTTCAAGTGATTTCTACAAAAAACACAGAGGGTATTTGCTGTAATTGACAACCACAGGGGGTTTTATTTAAACTCACTATCTGAAGCAATACTGTTTTCCCCTGCATTCACAGAACGCACAAATTCATCAGAAGGGCAAGGGGATGGGTGACATTTGAGATTTTAAAGTACCAGACAGTACAAAAAGGGTGTCAGCCTTGTTTTCAAAGTTGAAAAAGGATTAAACATAAGACTAAAAGCAAAATTACACAACCAAAAGCCCCACTCCCTCACTGCAGATGTATAGTCTCCTACCTGATCCAGTGCATGCTGACAGACATTTGTCTCATATGTGAATACAAAATGCTAATAGACATTTATGCTTTAATCATACGATTAAATGGGTTAACAGTCCATTTGCCCATTTTCGCTGGGAAGAGTAGTAATCGTAATTTCTATTTTCTTTGGCATCCTCCTCAACATGTACAATGCTACATTTTAGACAATTGCTAAAAACCAAAAACATCTC